GAGACCACACAGAGTCTCACGGTCACCCTTGGCTCTCTTTTGTTGAATTAGTTCAGCACAGATATCTTGGTGGCCTCTGAATACTTGGTGGCGGTTGGGCTTTGTGGCCAGGTGTAGTGGCTCACACCTGCAATCTCAGCATTTTGGGAGGCCAAGGTGGGAGGTTTGCCTGAGCCCAGGAGTTTGAGACCAGCCTGGGCAACATAGGGAGAACCCCATCTCTACTATATATATAAATTAGCCAGGTGTGGTGGCGTGTGGCTATAGTCCTGAGAGGCAAGATTGCATGAACCCAGGAGGTCAAAGCTGCTGTGAGCCATGTTGGTGCCACTGCACTCCAGCATAGGCAACAGAGTGAGACCATGTCTCAAAAAAAATTTAATTGACAAAGATTATATATATTTAAGGTATACAATGTGATGGTTTGATATATGTATACATTGTGTAATGCTTATCACAATGAAATTAACAAATCCCTCACCATTCATGCTGTGCTTTTGATTCTCAGAATTTATTCATTCTTTTTTTTTTTTTCAGTTGGAGTCTTGCTCTGCTGCCAGGGCTGAAGGGTGGTGATGAGATCCACTCACTGCAACCTCCACCTCCTGAGTTCAAGAGAATCTCCTGCCTCAGCCGCTGAGTAGCTGGGATTACAGGCACCTGCCACCATACCCAGCGATTTTTTTTTTTTTTTTTGTATTTTTAGTAGAGACAGGGTTTTACCATGTTGGTCAGGCTGGTCTCAAACTCCTGACCTCAAATAATCCATCCTTCTTTGTCTCCCAAAGTGCTGGGATTACAAGCATGAGCCACCACACCTGGTCAGAACTTGTTAATCTTATAACTAAAGTTTGTACCGTTTGACCATTTCTCCATTGCTCCCACTTCCTAGTCCCTAGTATCAAATGTTCTATTCTGCTTCTATGAGTTCAACGTTTTCAACGTTTTTAGATTCCACACATAAGTGAGATCAAACAGTATTAGTCTTTCTGTGCCTGGCTTATTTCACTTAGCATAATGTCCTCCAGGTTCATCCATATTTTCATAAATGGCAGGATTTCTTTCTTTTTTATGGCTGAATAAAACACATGTGTGTGAAAACATTTTATCTGTTCATCTGTTGATAGACACAGCTCATTTCCATGTTTTGGGTATTTTGAATAATACTGCAATGGACATGTGGGAGCAGATATATTGCCAAGATTTCATTTTATTTAGATATATAAAAGAGAAACTTGAGACTGATTAAATTTAAGAGTTTAATTGAGTGAAGGACAAGTTACAAATCAAGGAGCCCCCAAATCAGAATAGGTTCAAAGAGACTTCAGTGCTGCCAGTGGGGTTGCAGAGGATTTATGGACAGGAAGAGGAAATTGACATACAGAAAATGGATGTGAGATACAGAAATTGCAAGACTGGTTATAGCTGGGTTACAGACTTATTTAAATACTGAGCAGTTGGCCACTTGTGAATAAAGTAGATTTTCTGTGATTGGCTGAGACATGGCTACCTGTTACAAGAGTAGTTTATAGTCTGTTTATACATTCAGTTAGGTAACAACTCACTATTTATGGGGAAACCTTTAGGCTGAACTTACAAGGAAGCAGCTTTAGGCTAAAGTTAACTACACAGAAATAGGATTACTAGATTGTATTTACTTTTGGGGGAATTGCCATACTTTCTCCCATAATGGCTCTACAAATTTACATTCCCACTAGCAGTGTACAGGATTCTCTTTTCACCAACACTTCTCTTGTCTTCATTATAATACCCATCCTCAGAAGTGTGAGGTAATCCTCACCATGGTTTTAATTTGCATTTTTCTGATAATTAGTGATGCTGAGCACTCTTCATATGCCTGTTAGCTATTTACATTTCTTCTTTGGAAAAATGTTTATTCAAGTCCTTTGCCCATTTTTAAATCAGGTTTTTATTTATTTTTGCTATTGAGTATTGTGAGTTCCTTATATAGTATATTTGGATATTAACCACTTATCAGATACATGGCACACAAATATCTTCTCCCAGTCTGTAGGTTGCCTTTTCAGTTTGCTGATTGTTTCCTTTGCTGTGGAGAAGCTTTTTAGTTTGATGTAGTACCATTTGTTTATTTTTACTTTTGTTGTTTGTGCTTTTGGTGTTATGGCCTAAAAATTATCATCAAGACCAATGGAAAGCTTTCTGCCTATGTTTTCTTCTAGGTGTTTTGGGATTTCAGATCTCACATTTAAGTCTTCAATTCATTTTGAAAGGATTTTCGTGTATAGTGTAATACAAGGGTCCAATTTTCTTCTTTTGAATGTGGTTATCCAGTATATCCAGCTCCAATTATTGAAGAGACTTGTCTTTCCCCATAGTGTGCATATTCTTGGCACCATTGTCAAAGATTAGTAGATATATATGCATGGGATTATTTCTGGGCTGTCTGTTTTTCTGCATTGATTGATGTGTCTGTTTTTATGCTAGTATCATACTCTTTTGATTACCATGGCTTTGTAATATAGTTTGAAATCACTAAGTATAATGCCTTCAGCTTTTTGCTTCTTTCTCAAGATTGCTTTGGCTATTTGGGGTCTTTTGTGGTTTCAGATGAAATGTTAAAATTGTTTTTTTCTATTTCTGTGAAAAATTCCATTAGAATTTTGATGATTATATTGACTGTGTAGATCACTTTGGGTAGTATAGCCATTTTAACAATATTAATTCTTCTGATCTATGAACATGGGCTATCTTTCTACTTATTTATGTCTCCTACAATATCTTTCAATAGTGTCTTACAATTTTTAGTATACAATTTTTTTGTGTAAATCTTTCTTTCACTTCCTTGATTAAATGTATTCATATTTTATTCTTTTTGCTGTTATTGTAAGTGGGATTGTTTTCTTAATTTCTTTTTGAATAATTTGTCAGAAATCAATAATAGGAAGATTCTGGAAAATTCAGACATGTGTGGAAATTAAACAACACACTTTTGAGCAGCCAATGAGCCAAAGAAGAAATAAAAAGTGAAATAAACAAGTATCTTAAGACAAATGAAAATGAAAATACAAGGTACAACTTATAGGATGCAACAGAAACATTTTTAGGAGGGAAGCTTATAGTGAGAAATACCTGCATTACGAAAAAAGAAAGACATAAAACAACCTAATTTTATATTTCAAGGAACTAGAAGAGGAACAAAGTAAGCCCAAAAGTCAGCAGACTGAAGGAAATAAAAAAGATGAGAGCAGAAATAGAAACTAGAAAAACAACAGAAAAGATCAACAATAAAGATCAATAAAATTAATAAACCTTTAGCTAGACTAACCAAGAAAGAAGAGAATTCACATTAACAAAAGTATAAATGAAAGAGGAAACATTACAACTGATACAACAGAAATACAAAAGATCATCAACTACTATGAATAAATATACACCAAGAAACTAGATAACTTAGGAGGAGAAATGGATAAATTCACGGAAGCATACCATCTATCAAAACTGAGACTTGAAGAAACAGGAAATCTGAGCAGACCAATAACTAGTAAGGAGATTGAATCGGTAATCATAAACCTCCAAGGAAAGTAGACAAAGGAAAGCCCAGGGCCAGACCTGACCACATCTTTACTGAGTTTTCCCTGTGCCCTCCACCCCTTACCCCTCTTAGCCTGTCTCCCTCACTTCCTTTATTCTGAGGTACTCCCCCAGGAAACCACTTGCACCAGAATCCCCTACACTGGCTCTGCTTATAGGGAAGAAGTGGAGGACAGAGGGGGTGGAGTGGGGCGTGCCAATTAAGTATTTTGAATGAAACTAGCAGATACTTTTGTTCCTAAAGATTCTCTGATCACACCATCTCTGGGATGTTTACTGGCTTCTTCACCTTGCACTGAGCTATTTTCAGTCTCAGAACCTTACTGCTCTTTCTCATTCATCCTTTCCTCCTCACCCCTTTCTTTCCAAGTTGCCAAAAGGAGCTCCATCTAGTGTTGCCCAGCTCGGTTTCAGGCACACTTTTGCAAATCAAAGCCATTCAGCATCTCAGAGGGACAAAAAGGGGCTTAGTTGAAGGTAGCAGTGTCTATGAATGGCAACCGTCTGCGTGCTCCCTTACACATAGGGTCCTGTGTAAGAAGCCTACACACAGTGCCTGGGACACTGCACTCCACACATGGTATGTACACTCCTTGGGCAATGCCTCCTAAATGCTTAGGACCATTCCCTGTCCTCCCACGACATTTAGAATAAAACCCACACACAGACCCTGCCTCACAAGACCCGACATGATTTGGGTCCTTACTGCTCCTCTGCCCTCTTCTCATTTTCCAGTCATGGGATGGACGCTCTTTCTCTTTTCCTTCTTGAGAGTCCCAGAAAATGTCTTCCCCTCCCTTTTCCTGTATAAATCCTACTCTCCCTCGGGCTCAGTTCAAAGCTTCTTCAGATATTGCTCTGGTCACTGAAATTAAAATAGGCCTCCTTCTGTTCATTTCACTAGTGGCATCACCATGCAGTTTTCTGTGTACTGTTAGTGTACATGGATGCATGTTTGGTTTTTCACTTGTTTCCTCCCTTACACTGTAAACCTCACAAGGGTGGGACACTCGCTGTCTTGAAGGGTGCTGTAATGCGAGGCCCTGGTCCTTGCTCGCCTGGTGCTCAGCCCCTGCTGCTCTACACGTGTTTGCTGAATGAATGGAGTGATGAACCCTCAGAAATTTGCCTCCAGATGAGCGCCTTGGCCGTCTCAGCGTCTACCAGCTGAACATCACCCTCGGCTTTCCCTCAAGGGTGAACTCCCAAAGCGAGAATGTGTCCCTGTCCTTGGTACCTATCCTTGGCCTCACTCTAACGCACTTCTGCAGGCGCAGACCGCCACGCCCCCGCCCCCCCAAACGGAAGGACTACAACCCCCAAAAGGCACCGCGACTCCGAGCCATCCGACTGGTGGAGCCTCCGACGGCGGCCAATAGAACGTGATTTTGTTGGCGGGTGCAGCGGCCGCACGAGTCCTGGAAAGCGTTGTTGGCCTGGTTGCTCCGGAGCCGGGTCTCAGGTCGGGTGGCTGCCCGCTCGCTTGCAGCTCGCCATGGGGAGTACGGAAAGCAGCGAGAGCCGTAGGGTGTCCTTCGGAGTGGACGAGGAGGAGCGGGTCCGGGTGCTGCAGGGCGTCCGGGTGAGCAGCGCCGCCTGGGCCGGGGCGGGCACGCTGGCGGGGGAGGTGCGGGGCGGAGCGCTGGGACAGGGCTCGCGCCACGCGTGAGGGGCGTGGGACTTGGGAGACGCCGGGGGCTCAGGCCAGGACGAAGCTACGCCGGTACGCGAGCCCGAGGCTGGCAGCCTTGGAGCTTCTTGACACCGGCTTCAGGGAAGGAGTGGATAGCGGGACAAGGTGCGAGGCCGCCAGGACACGAGAGACGCCCGGGCCACGTCCCCTCTCCGGTCGGCTTAGTTTTTACTTCTCTTGAATTTGCGCCCAGCCTGGCAGCCCCGTGGCCCCCCAGGTGCGCGCCTCCGGTTCTGGGTACGCAGTGCCTCCCACCTGGGCTTTGCCTGGGGACTCCGCTCTCCCCTGCCGGTCTGTTCTCCACAGCACAGCTGCGGGGTCTGGAAGAATCTTAGCTCAGATCCGATCCCCTTCCCTGCCTAAAATCCTCCGGTGGGTTCCTAGCGCGCTTGGATGATGCCTTCCCTGGTTCCAAAGCTGGCTGGTGCCCGCCGACCTCTGGGACCGCATCCCTATTTCCCTTTCGTGGCACTTCGCACCTCGTCGCCAGCCTCAGGACCGCCGTGTTTTCCTGGAGGCTGCTGCTGGCCCAGTATAGGGTCTGTGCGCCGGCTGTTCTCTCTCCTTCAGCTCTCCTTGCATCCTGCTTGCTCTTGTAATTCTTGTGTAGCCTAGATATCACCTGAGCATCCTTCCCTGACCACCCAATCTGAAGTAACCTTCTACCCTGTCACAGATTTATTATTTTCATAGCACTCATTACAATGTGAAGCTTCTATTGGTAATTGTTTACTTGTTTATTGCGCTTCCCGCTAGAGTGTAAGCTTCTTGAGGCGGAGGTTTCTGTCTGATTGAAGACTGTACCAGAACCCAGAAGAATAAAAGCAGCTCTTATTCCAGTGTAGGGGTCATGCGTTGGACTAAACCCTTTATAAGGAACTGATTTAATTTTCAACAGCCCTATGAGAGCAACAGAATTCTGTTAGCTCATTATTATACATTAAGGAGAACTGAGGCACTGAGAGGTGAAGGAACTGATACAAGGTCATGTAAATAGCAAATGGGAGAGCTGGGATTGAAACAAGCCCACTCCAGGGCATATTGCTGTGCTCTGCCTCCTCCTACACCTGTGTCTACACTTGTGGATGCTTTGTAAGTAACTGTGGAGAGATGAAATGAAGGGACCAGGTTTAAATGAAATGCACAGATCTGGGTGTAGGTGAATTAGTTAATTAAGGAGGAATTAGGGAGGTGGCTCAGAAGGACTTCAGGAGGTCTGGTAGGTGCTCATTAGCTGTGTGACCTTGGGTGAAAAACTCTTGAGCTTCAGTAGCTACATTATAAAAAAATGGATGTGTTTGTATCCTAGGTACTACCTAGGATAAGATGATGTCTGTGAAAGTGTTAAGGAAACAGAGCGCTTTGTGGGGGCCTCTGTTCTTAGCCTAGCAGAGTACTTGGCACATTTGGTGCTTGCTAGGTGTCATATAGTTTTGTTGACTTCACTTGTGGCAAGGATTAAATGGGGAGGAGATGGCTTGTGTTGGAAGGCTTAGAGGGAGGAACCCGAATTGGAATTTAGAAAGATATGCTTGCGTCTCTTTGGGTGTTCTCACCCTTGTGATTTGGTCTCTTGTTATGGGAAACGTTGGAAAGTTGAGTTGGAGTCTTCAGAGGTTCAGGGGAGTGCCTTTGTGGGGGTACCTTCTTCCAAGTTGATTGGAAACTTCATCTTTTTTGAGTATTATATAAGACAAGTACGTTTTATTTCTAGTTATCTTAAATACTTTTGCAAAATATAAATTCTCTTTATTTAAAGATGGAGAATCAGGCTTAGAGAGGTTAAGGAATTTGCCCAATGTGTTAACCTGAGTAACATCTGGGACTTTAATCCAGATTTTTGGGTGCAAAAAACTTTTTCCACCACTCCCCGCTCCCCATGATGTATATATTAAGGCAGCCTGAACATTTTGTGACAATACCTGTACCTGTCCTGACAGGATGCTGGTGCCCCACTTAGTTTTATCAGACTAGTAAAACTAGAAGGAACTTTGGTGACTACTTCCTTTTCCAGCTGGGCAAACTAATCCGAGAGGCTATGTGACTTGTCCAGAAGTGCACAGTGAGGTGCACAGCCCCATGTTATGAGAGCCACATCCTTCCCTCTGCTTGGGTTTGAAAGAGGAAGACTGAACAAAGGAGGTGATGGTAATGAAGTGTTATGGTGCGGGGGCTTTTTCTGTTAGCAAAGTTACTCGAGGGTTGAGGAATTCACCTTGTCTTTAGGGAAGGGAGTGAAAAAGATTGCCACATCAACAAAACAGTTGCCAAAGTGAACAAATCGGTTAATTTAATGGGAGGTGGATGCCAAAGAAGATCTGCCCCAGCTTCTTTAGATCAAGTTGAGTATTCGTAATGACCATTTGTATTTAATTCCTGAGGCCTGGTTCTAGATAGTGTTCTAGTCCCTTTAAGATTAAGTGTTAGTGGCCGTGTATGGTGGCTCATGCCTTTTTTGTTAGCACTTTGGGAGGCCGAAGTGGGCAGATCACCTGAGGTCAGGAGTTCAAGACCAGTCTGACCAACATGGTGAAACCCTGTCTCTACCAAAAATAAAAAAGTTAGCTGGGTGTGGTGGCATGCACCTGTAGAATCCAGCTACTTGGGAGGCTGAGGCAGGAGAATCCTTGTACCCAGAAGGCAGAGGTTGCAATGAGCTGAGATTGCGCCAGTGCCCTCCGTCTGGGTGACAGAGCGAGACTCTGTCTCAAAAAAAAAAAAAAAAAAAAAAAAGTGCTATATCTTGCTAGTTTACACACTTATTTGCATAAATTCACAAAGTGTGTTCAAACCATAATTCCATGGATGGTAAAAGAAATTTAATTAATGCAAAATGCTGCAGTTATATTCAACTCCAGTTTTCAGAGAAAACGTGTGAAATAGGTAAAGATTTTGTTTCAACCAGTACATTTAACCTCATCCTCCAGTGAGAGAAGGCACACATGGAAGTCATTTCCTGTGTGTGTCTGCTTTCCCTCTCCTCCATTCCACATGAGCCACTCTCTGGTGATTTAGCTGATGTTGGTTGCTTCACTGTTCACCAGCCTTTTCCCCTTTCCCACCACTGAGCCCATTCCTGCTCCAATCACTCCAGACTCATTACCCTCTCCAGGCTTGATTGACTTTACCATCATGCATTGCTCCCATGAAGCTGATTCTGGACCACGGTGGAGGGGAAGATCAGGAAGGATGTAGTCAGACACAGAAGTGAGTCCCCTAACGTGCTAGTGCCAGAGAGGCCGTGTGCCAGAGCACTGCACCTGCAGCCGTCAATTATTTCTTACCTCAGTGAATGTTCAGTGGCTTCATGTTACTGGTCTTGGCCTTGCTAAGACAATGAGGGACAAAGCCGAGGACTCTGCCCAGTAGAGAGAACTGACCAGAAAGGAAGAAACAGGCAAAGGACTCAAAGAGCTTCAAGAGCTAAGGAGGAAACAAAAAGGGTGCAAAGGCTACTGGGGCTGCCTACTTGAGGTGGGATGGCCAGGCAGTGCCTCTCAGGAGGAGACGTTGACTGTGGCCTGAGCCAGCCCTGTGAAGAGTGTCCGTATTCACTGTGCTATGCACTGTGCCCGCTGTATTCAGAGCATCACCCCAGAAATTCCACATGCTCACCTGTGAGAGGTCATTATCCCCATCTCAGAAGTGAGGAAACATGTTCAGTGAGGCCAAGTAACCCAAGATCACAGAGCTAGAACCTCAGGGTTTCTGACACCAAAGCCCACATGCTTGGCAGCCACAAGGAGGGTAGGATGCTTGAGGATGTGGCAGGGGCGAGGCCAGACTCAGGGCCTGAATGCCAGGCAGGACTGTGAACATGTTATTCTGGAGGCCACACTGCAGTTCTCTAGTCAGGAGCAGAGCTTTGGAAAGCTTTTATCTGGTGACGCTGATTTTTCTTTAAAATCAGAAAAACAGGTTTAAGCCACTTGCAGTGGTGTGTTCCTGTTTCTCCACAATCCTAGTTCCAGCTACGCAGGAGGCTGAGGCAGAGGATCCCCTGAGCCTGGTGGTTTGAGTCCAATATAGCAAGACCCCATCTCTTAAAAAAACAAAAAAAAATGTTATTGAAATGCACTTTATATATTATAAAATTCACCCATTTCAATGCTTTTTAGTAACTTTACAGAATTGGGCAACTGTCACCACAATCTAATTGTAGAACATTTACAAGACCTAAAAAAAAGATGCCTTGATCTGTTTGCAGTCACTCCCCATTCCCACTCCCAGTCCCAGGTAACCATTAATCCTCTTTCTCTACAAATTTACTTTTTCTGGACATTTCATTTAGTTGCCCCTCGGTATCCATGGGTCATTGGTTCCAGGACTCCCATGGATACCAAAATCCTTGGATGCTTAAGTCCCTTCTGGAAAATGGTGTATTTGCCTATAAACTACACATATTCTCCTTTATACTTTAAAGTATCTCCAGATCACTTATAATACATTAACATTGTGTAAATCGTTGTTACACTGTTTTTAAAGATTTATATTTTTATTGGCATATTATTTATTGTTTTTTTCCCCCAAATATTTTCCACTGGACCCATGGATACAGAGGGCTGACTGTAAATGATTCATGCATCTTTTACGTCTGGCTTCTTTCACTGAGCAAGTGTTTTTGGTTGGTTCACTGATGATGTAGTATGTATCAGTAGTTCATCATTTTTATTTCTGAATGGTATCCTGTTTTATATATATTCTGCATTTGACTTATTCAGTCACCAGTTGAGGGCATTTGAATTGTTTCTACTTCTTGGCCATTATGAGTAATGCTGCTATGAACATTTATGTATTATACATTTTTTTTTGAAGACGTATGTTTTTAGTTCTCATGGATAGACACCTGAGAGTGGATTTGCTGGGTCATTCAGTTTATGAATTTGATG